CTGGGAATTCCCCAATCCCAATCCCCAAACAGATCCTGAATCTGCTGGGGGTTCCAGTCCTGATCCTGATCCCATTCCCACGGGAATCGGTGGGGACAGGGACACTGGGAATCAATGGGGACACAGATCCTGTGGGTATCAATGGGGACACGGATCCCATGGGAATCAGTGGGGACAGGGACACTGTGGGTGTCAATGGGGACATGGATCCTGTGGGAATCAATGGGGACACGGATCCCATGGGAATCAGTGGGGACAGGGACACTGTGGGTGTCAATGGGGACACGGATCCCATGGGTGTCAATGGGGACAGGGACAATCTGGGAATCAATGGGGACATAGATCCCATGGGACTCAATGGGGACATGGACACGGATCCCATGGGACACTGAACCCCATGGGTGTCAATGGGGACAGGGACACTGTGGGTGTCAATGGGGACAGGGACACTGTGGAAATCAAAGGGGACACGGATCCCGTGGGTGTCAATGAGGACATGGATCCCATGGGACACTGGACCACGTGGGAATCATATGGGGACACGGATCCCATGGGAATCAGTGGGGACAGGGACACTGTGGGTATCAATGGGGACACGGATCCCACGGGAGTCAATGGGGACATGGATCCTGTGGGAATCAATGGAGACAGGGACACTGTGGGATCCCATGGGACACCGGACACTGTGGGAATCAATGGGGACACAGATCCCATGGGTGTCAATGGGGACATGGACACGGATCCCATGGGACACCGGACCCTGCGGGAATCAAAGGGGACACAGATCCCGTGGGTGTCAATGGGGACAGGGACATGGATCCCATGGGACACCGGACCACGTGGAAATCATATGGGGACACGGATCCTGTGGGAATCAATGGGACACGGATCCCACGGGAATCAGTGGGAACAAGGACACTCTGGGAATCAGTGGGGACAGGGATCCTGTGGGTGTCAATGGGGACAGGGACACTGCACCCCCCAGGAATTAATGGGGACAGGGACACTGTACCCCGCAGGAATCAATGGGGACACGGACACTCTGGGAATCAGTGGGGACAGGGACACTGTGGGAATCAATGGGGACACAGATCCCGTGGCTGTCAATGGGGACACGAATCCCATGGGTATCAGTGGGGACAGGGACACTGCACCCCGCAGGAATCAATGGGAACAGGGACACTCTGGCCATCAGTGGGGACAGGGACACTGCACCCCGCGGGACACCGGACCCTGCAGGAATCAGTGGGGACAGGGACACTGGGAATCAATGGGGACACGGATCCTGTGGAAATCAGTGGGGACACCGGACCCTGCAGGAATCAAAGGGGACACGGATCCCGTGGGTGTCAATGGGGACAGGGACACTGCACCCCGCGCGACACCGGACCCTGCAGGAATCAGTGGGGACAGGGACACTCTGGCCATCAGTGGGGACAGGGACACTGCACCCCTCGGGTATCAATGGAGACACAGATCCCGTGGCTGTCAAAGGGGACACGGATCCCGTGGGTGTCAATGGGGACAGGGACACTGTGGCAATCAATGGGGACAGGGACACTCTGGCCATCAGTGGGGACAGGGACACTGCACCCCGCGCGACACCGGCTGCGCCGCCGCGCTTTTCCCGAGCCGCCCCAGCGCCCGCAGCAGCGCCATTCGGCGCCGGATGGAATGGTCTAAATTCACCGTCACCGCCAGCAGCTCCAGGGCCTCTCCAGCTCCAAAGGGAAAATCCCTCTCCAGGAACTGCTGGAAGAGCTCGGCGTCCCCGTCCAGGCTCAGGACRTTGCCCAGCGGCTGCTTCAGGGAGCTCAGCTCGCCCACGTTCTCYCGGAAGATGCTCCAGAGGGATTTCCCGGCCAGATCCGCCACCGGGACGCTGTGAACGGAATCCTCCAGGCACTGCAGCGTCCAGCTGAGGCGGCAGGGCCAGCGGTCAGCCAGCACCACCCAGGCCGCGGCCGCCCGCGGGGATGGAACTGCGGCCGAACCGCCGGCGTGGTGCAGCAGCAGCCGCAGCGTGATGGGCACCGTGTTRACGATGCGCCGGACGCTGGCCCCGTCATCCGGGAGGTACCGGGACAGGACATCGGAGCCGTCGTGGAGGCAGCGGAACGCTTCGTGGATCCGCGCCACCGCCTGCGAATCCGCCTCCCTCCGGCTGGGAACGGGCGCGGCGCCGCTGGATTTGGCCACGTTACCGGCGATGATKCGGTAGAGCAAATCCTCGCGGGTCTGGATCGCCGCCTCCACGCTGCGCAGCCGGGAGCGGGCGCCGGTGTCGGGGATGGAGAAGGGCAGCGAGACGGCGCGTTTCAGGTACAGGTAYCCGTTATCCGCCATTCCCTTCAGGCTCCCGGAGCTCTCCAGGCACGGCACCACCACGCTGGGATCCACGGCCAGCAGGAAGATGAAGGGAGCGTTGGCGTCCGACAGCAGCGTGGCCATGGCGTTGAACACCCCGGCCACTTTGTCGGGGTAGCAGCGGTCCAGGCTGGTGATCTCCAGCACCACGCGGAGCCGCCGCCGCTCGAACACCTCCATGAAAGCCAAATAATCCACCAGCACCTCCACCTCCTCGCGGATCTTGCTCATGAAGCCCAGCTGGCCGGCGAAGCGGTCGCTGTTGGTCAGCCGCTCGATTTTGCGCTTCTCGCTGACCAGGAARTTCTTGAGGATGGACAGAGCCCCCAACACCAGGCTGGAGCCCGACAGCGACGCGGCCGCGCTGCCCACCACCTTGAGCGCCCGGTGGTCCTTGATGCCGGGCACCAGCAGCGCCACGAGCAGCACGGAGATGCCCAGCGCCAGCAGCAGCAGCAGCCCCCAGAGCCGCAGGCACGTTCCCTTCTTGAGGATCCACTCGCGCTGCGAGAAGCCCGAGGCGAAGCGGGGCCGCGACCCCAGCACGTGGAACACGCTGAGCGGCAGCGCCCCGAAATGCTGGCGCACGCTGTGGCACAGGGTGCTCACCAGCCCGGCCCACAGCTTGTCGCAGCCCGCGAACTCCCAGGCGCTGAAGCGGATGAAGATGAACTCGAGGTTCTTGCGGCGCAGGTGGCCCTCGGTGACCACGGGCTCGTAGAAGGCGAGCAGCCACAGCGCCTCCAGGAGCCCCCAGCCGTGCGGGCTGCGCGGGGCGCGGCGGCCGCAGAGGCGCTCGGAMGCTTCGCGCTCGGCCATCTCCTCCCGCATGAAGGCTGCGGATTCGGGATTTGGGGGCGGAATGAGGGATTTGTGGTGGGAGGTCAAGATGGGGTGGGTTTGGATTTGGGACGGGATCCAGGGGATGGGATGGGACTGGAGCCGCTGGTGCAGGGGGTGGCCCCACATTCCCAATCCCAATAACTCGCCATAAATCCCATAACTCCTGATATCCCAAATACTCCGATAAATCCCAATAAATCCCAATAAATCCCGATCGGGGACGCACCGGTGACCTTGTCCAGCAGCGAGTGCAGCCGCTGGCCGCAGGGCGGTGACCCCACATTCCCAATCCTATTATCCCCAATACCCCAATACCCCGATATCCCAATAAATCCCAATAAATCCCAATAAATCCCAATAAATCCCAATAAATCTCGATAAATCCCGATCGGGGACGCACCGGTGACCTTGTCCAGCAGCGAGTGCAGCCGCTGGCCGCAGGGCGGTGACCCCACATCCCCAATCCCATTATCCCCAATACCCCAATAACTCCCGATATCCCAATAAATCCCGATAAATCCCGATAAATCCCAATAAATCCCGATAAATCCCGATAAATCCCAATACCGGGACGCACCGGTGACCTTGTCCAGCAGCGAGTGCAGCCGCTGGCCGCAGGGCGCGTAGAAGCCGACGGTGACGGGCGTGGCCGTGTGGCACAGGGTGCGCGACAAACAGCGACAGTAAACGTCATCCTCCGTGGGGGGATCTGCGACGGCAGCGCCGTTTGGGGTCGGGGTTTGGGGTTTGGGGTGGATTGGGATGGGATTTGGGATCAGGGTTTGGGGTTTGGGATCAGGGTTTGGGATGGGGTTTGGGGTTTGGGGTGGATTGGGATGGGATTTGGGATGGGGTTTGGGATTTGGGATCGGCGTTTGGGGTTTGGGATCAGGGTTTGGGGTGGGATGGGATTTGGGATGGATTGGGATTGGAATGGGATTTGGGATTTGGGATTTGGGATTTGGGATTGGCGTTTGGGGTTTGGGATCAGCGTTTGGGGTTTGGGATCAGGGTTTGCGGTGGGGGTTTGGGGTTTGGGATGGGATTTGGGATCTGGGATGGGGTTTGGGGTTTGGGGTGGATTGGGATGGGATAAGATTTGGGATTTGGGATTTGGGATTTGGGATCGGCGTTTGGGGTTTGGGATCAGGGTTTGGGGTGGGGGTTTGGGGTTTGGGATTTGGGATGGGATTTGGGATGGGGTTTGGGGTTTGGGGTGGATTGGGATGGGATAGGATTTGGGATTTGGGATTTGGGATTTGGGATCGGCGTTTGGGGTTTGGGATCAGGGTTTGGGGTTTAGGATCAGGGTTTGGGGTTTGGGATTTGGGATCGGCATTTGGGGTTTGGGATCAGGGTTTGGGGTTTGGGATCGGCGTTTGGGGTTTGGGGTTGGGATTGGGGTTTGGGGTGGATTGGGATGGGGTTTGGGATTTGGGATGGAGTTTGGGGATTTGGGGTGTGAAAATGGGGTTTGGGATTTAGGATTTGGGATGGGATTTAGGATGGGATTTAAGATTTGAGATTTGGGATTTAGTTTGGGATTTGGGATTTAGGATTTGGGATTTAGGATTTGGGATGGGGTTTGGGGTTTGAGATTTAGGATTTGGAATGGGGTTTGGGATTTGGGATTTGGGATGGGGTTTAGGGTTTGGGGTGCGGATGGGGTTTGGGATGCCCCACCCCCCGTACCTCGGGGCTCCGGGGTCCGTCCCTCTCCGGGGGTTCCTTGGGGGCTCAGCCGAGCGTCCCCCCCCGGGCCCAGCCAGGCC